TTTTTTTTTTAATTTCAAAAATTGTACAGTCCTGGAGGGGTAAAGTCTTTTCTGTTAATATATTTGCAATTCATTAAAGGATGAAAAAATCCAAATAAATTACTTTTAAAAGCAGGCTTAGCCCCAGGTGCTTTGGGACAGGGGTGGGATTTGTCCTTCAGGAGCTGGRCCAGTGACAGAGGTTGGGAAAGGTTCAAGGATGGTTCACAGGGGCTGTTTCTGTCCTGTGCTACCTGGGGTTCTGTGTCACCTGTGAATCTGCCACACCTTTCCAAGTGGGCTGTGAGTTCCTGGCTGGAATTTTGGGTGAGGTGGGAGGTGTGACACTGGAGCTGCTGGAGCAAGACCTGAGGAGGCCACGGAGCTGCTGCAGGACTGGGAGAGCTGGGGGAGCTCACCTGGAGAGGAGAAGGCTCCAGGGAGAGCTCAGAGCCCCTTCCAGAGCCTAAAGGAGTTCCAGGAGAGCTGGAGAGGGACTGGGGACAAGGGATGGAGGGACAGGACACAGGGAATGGGGTGACACTGCCAGAGGGCAGGGATGGATGGCATTTTGGGGAGGAATCCTTCCCAGTGCGATCCTGCTGCTCATCACCTTCCATCCTGCAGCAACAGCTTCAACAATCTCCCAGGTATGCAACAAAAACAAAACCAAAAACAATTTCAAAGGTCAATTCTATCAAAACTACTCWAGAAAACCACATCCAGAAAGGTGCCAGATGTTCCTTTCTTGCAATCTCYGTTCAGTTAAAAATCTCTTCCCAAATCCAGTAATTCATATCCACACGTGTGTGGAACAATAGACATCCTTTGGTGCCAGGACGTTTGGGAAACGAGCTTAGGGARACAAGAGGATTAATTGCTACTTTCTGCCTCTTTTGGATTCTCGTGTGTCTCACCAGAGTTAGAAAAGTCTCGCTCTGGCAGGTGTTTTTCCTCATTCCTATCGTGCTGGGTGAGCAGCTCATCTTCACACCTCCTTTTAAACAGTTTGTCACCTGCAGAGTAAGGTCAGAGTCTGGATTTTCCTGGATAACCAGGAAACACAACCTGGTGGTTTCACCTTCYTTGGTCTGTATGGGGACAGTGACTGCAGCTGCTCTGTGTGGGAGCAGGATTGCCATCTCTGACAGTGCATTTGGAGCATCTCAAACGTCCTTCCAAGTCCTGAAAGGGGCTTAGAAAATGAGATAGGGACAGATCACTATCACAGGCAGATAGTGWGAGAACAAGAGGGGGAACTGCTTTAACCTGAGAGAGATTTAGATGAAATGTTAGGATGAAATTCTTTGCTCAGAGTTGGATGAGAGCCTGGCAGAGGTTCTCAGAGAAGCTGTGTCTGCCTCTGGATCACTGGAAATGTCCCAGWCCAGGCTGGACGGGGCTGGGATCAACCTGGGATGGTGGAAGGTGTCCCTGCCCATTGCAGGAGAGTGGAACAAGATGAGCTGTGAGGTCCCTTCCAGCATCAACCATTCCATGATTCCATGATCATCTTCCCAGCTCTGCTGTCCCAACGGGAAACAGTGACTCTGCTTGCACAGAAAGACCACCAGCRAGAAATGAAGGAGCTCACCTGCTTTTTGGCCTGTGCGATGTGAATTTGAGTCTTTTAYTTGAATGAAACTTGTCCTGTGACTGGGATAAAAACTAAAAGACAATTTTAACAAGAGTGGCAGCATATGAAGAGCACAATGGCTGTCCCCCCACASCAGCGGGCAGGAGAAGCCACAAGAAGAGTTTTCTGTGTCTGGGAGAAGGTGACTCGGGGATGCCCCTGAGTTCAGCAGTGCATGGACAGAGGGAGCTGCCGGGGGTCCTGGGGCTTGGATTCCTTGGGGACAGCCCCCCACGGCTGGGGGGACACAGGGCAGCAGTGCTGGCCGTGCCACAGCTCCGGTGTCCTCCGTGGGACAGAGCCCCGYTGTCACCCACCGATGGAGCCCGTGTCACCCGCGGGACGGGGACCCGCGGCAGCGCCGGGACACAGGCCCAGGGCCACGCAGGGGACACGGGCCCAGCGTCACCTGTGGGACACGGGCCTGGTGCCATCCGCGGGACCGGGCCCGCTGTCCCCGGCCGGACCGCAGCTTTTGTCACCCGCGCCGGGGCTCGGTGTCCCGGCGGCACCTCCCGGTCCCCCGGCAGATCCCTCCCCGCAGCGGGACCCGCGCCCCGCACGGGGCACGAGTGGCCTGCGGCCCGCGGGACGCCCCGCGCGTCCCCCGGCTCCCGCCCCGGTGCCACCTGCGGGACCCCCGCGCCCCGCGCGTCCCCCCGCCCGTCCCCC